TATTTGTGCCACTACTACAGCTTAGATTTATAGTACCATGTTATCCATTGTTGTGGTTCATTGCTGCTTCTCTCCTTTTGATGCTTTCATGGAACCTTCTGGTACCATAAAAACTAGTCAAGGAGGCATTCAGGTTAGTTTCAGCTCAGAAGTCTCTGGGCCCTGTGTCCAAAGTGTATGATGTTTTCAACAATAGAGACTTACCTTTTACTTTTATGGGGAAGCCAAGGGCAATACTAATAGCTTATAATGTTTGGGAAGACTCTTGGACAACCCTGACCAACAACTCAAAAGAGAGTGTTTCATGTCTGATGTTGGTTTAGAAAGTTATTTTATTCCAGCTACCATCTTCCAGCCCAGCATCATGTGCAGTGCAGAGAGTTGACTTAAATGTGGAAGCACACATCCTATACTGACATCTAGAAGTTCTGAAAGCACCCAGAGTTGGAGGCATATAAGGAAGCCAAAGCCCCATGTTCCAGATGCAATACCTGCCATGTAAGAACCATCTCCTCATTACCTGCCATGTATCAGCCATCTCCCCATTCTTTATGATGCTTTTAGTTTCCTCCAGGGTCCCTCCTTGAACTTACTGAAATTCTTCCATCTTGATGGATGAAACCTTGAAAGCATTCTCAATTTGTGGGGCAGAGTTTTAGCTACAAGTTGCTAATTTATCCCACGCAACAGAGTACAGTAATTATCAGTCTTTTCAAATGAGATCTCCACACCCTGAACCTCTGAGTAATTTCCCCTGCTTTAATCAGATGCTGCAATGTGTTGCCCTTTAAATCATTGGGAAATTGATCTAGCTGATGTATAGTGCTTACCTCTTCCCTTGAATAGCAAATGTATTCCTCAAACAAAATTCATTTCTGTTTAGAGTTTGTTATAGAAATTTATAGATTCATTTAGAAACAAAACACTTTACATATTATGTTCCTGGAGTAATTAGACATTAATAACGATAACAAATGTAGCAACAATAACAAAATGAGGAGACACTGACATTTCATAGAAGCCTGCTACGGTTAATCCATTAGAGAAAATGGTTAATGGAAAAAACTTAATGAGCTACTGGGCTGGCAAAATTTTATAGTTCATCATATCTGTGCAGCAGCATATATACATAAACTATTTCAGAAAGTTCAGTTTGCTGTATTCTTGGTGCTTAGAGCTGTACCTGCCATTGTGAAAGTGTGTAGCAAACATTTGATAAATAAATTATCAGGTGAATAGGAAGCAAGTTGACAAATTGGGGATTTTCTCCCCCGTTGTTTCTGAACTTTCTGTCAAATGTACACATCTGTGACATCAGGAGTCCAAGGGAGGCATTTTGTACCTTCTTTGGAGACAAACTAGGATGATATCAATTTTTCAAATAAGAGAAGGTGTGTGGATAAGTGTAAAACACCCACCATAACCAGCATGATGGGAAATAGTGGTACATAGGAAACAAGATGGCTCCTTGACCTTCATGTAAGAGCAGTTTACACTTTTCATTCAATCTAGAAACTTAAAAAGCCTGTCTCCTCCCATCAAAGTGTGACAGAAACCAAGACACAACACACAGGGAAAAGGTGTCAGGGTCAAAGAAAGAGAAACATTCTGCTTGATATCCAGTCATGGACACTTAACAACAGGGCATGCTCTGAGAAACATGTCATAGGGAACATTGGGCCACTATGTGAACATCACAGAGAATGCTCCACGGATCTGGATGGCACTGAGGATTCACTCCACCAAGTAAATGATCTACCATTTCCAAAACTCCTTCCAGAACACCTTGACGTCGGCCCTCCAGGCTCTGCTCACTGGTCAAAGATCTTCTGATCTTTGAAGCCACTCAGATGTGAGAGTAAATTCAGATCTGCACTTGAGTCCAGGCTTTTACAGCAACACTGAAAACAAACTTCTTGTTTTGACCATGACTATCATAACGATGGGATAAACACCTGTCTGGTCTTCCACCCCAATCCCTGGATGTTTCTCCATATCTAACATATTTCTGTGAATATCACTGCTTTGGTCAAACAGGTCTTTCTTTGGCCTCTGATTTTATTCTCTAAGCTCACACCCTTGACGCAATGGCACCTGATGAAGTGGCCAGCAATGGCTGCTGATTTTCTACCTTTGAAGTCCTTCATCACTTTGAATTTGCTTTCTAGGTCAGCTGCTTCATGTGGTCTCTTCCTGGCAACATTAACAGTGGATTCTGTCAGGGCCACAGTGAGCGAGGCAATTTAAGATTAAATTAGCACAGAAAAAATGATGCAACTAGCGATGTGATAAACGCAAGATGTGCAAGGCTGCTACCACTGGCCTCCTTTGTAAGTCTGGCCAATTGTTGACCAATACATGGTTGTGCAGTCCTGGACTGTAATAAACATCCTAGGCCAGCTAGCAGTGGATGGGCACCAATGAATACAAATAAGAATGAAAGCACTGTTGATGTTGAAACCAGCCTTAGTGTTCAGAGAAGCATGTAAGAGGGAGATAAAACTGATCCAAACCACCTTCCTTGTCCTAAGGAAATACAATACCCACATTGAAACTGAATCACTTTCCCAAGGGGCTGGATTCCCATGGCATTAACCTCTAATTTCTAAGTAAATTGATGCAAAAGTGAACCTCTTCCCTTTAAACACACACACACACACACACACACACACACACACACACACACACACACACACGGGGCGGGGGGCAAGGGGGTATGAATTTCTGGATATGTAAGTTGATCTGGAGGGGACTCCCACACTGCACAGCAAACAAATTAGAACATGTTGTGTTATTGTTTGGTTGTGGGGGGCAGTTATTGTTTTGAGAAAGGATCTCATGTTGTAGCTCAGGCTGGCCTCAAAGTCATAATCCTCCTGTTTCAGCCTCTGAAGGGCTTAGACTCTGTTCTTAGATATCTTTGGCTCATCCCGCCCATAGACAGGATGCTTCAGCCCACTCAGCAGCCACCCTTTCCAGCTCACCTTGCCTCCCTTTCTCCTTCCACCGTTTGCTGTTTGCTCTCCATCTTTAGGCAGTCTCATTTCCACCCTGCAGGAAAGGGGGGGCACCACACCCAATGTGACCACTCTGAAAGGAGCACAGTGGGAGACAGAGGGAAAGGACTGTCAAGGAGCAGAGGAGGAATACAGACAAGAACAGAGACACCGTCTTTTTAGCCACCACTTGCTAAAGGGGGAGATGATACCAGAGCCTGGCAGCAGGTTCCGTTACCATTTACATACACATAACCATATTTTAAATAGCTATCATAAGATGATTCGAATCTCATTCTATAGTAAGGAACAGGACATTCTCAAAGAATTTTTTGTTGTCTTTATAAAGTTTCTAGTTAAAAACTTGTCTTAGTCACTGTTCTATTGCTGTGAAGAGATACCATGACCAAGGCAACTCATAAAAGAAAGCATTTAACTGGGGGTTTGCTTATAGTTTCTGAGGTTTAATCCATTATCATCATGGCAGGGACAACAACGGTCAACAGGTGTGGTGCTGGAGAAGTAGCTGAGAACTACATCCTGATCCACAGGCAAAGAGAGAGAGAGACACTAGGCCTGGCATGAGCTTTTGAACCTCAAAGCCCACCCCCAGTGACACACTTCCTCCAACAAGGCCACACTTCCTAATCCTTCTAATCTTTTCAAACAGTTCCATTCCCCGGTGACTAAGCATTCAAATCTATGAGCCTATGTGGGCCATTCTTATTCAAACCACCACACTTGTGTTAGTCAGCTTTCCATCACTATGACAGCTTGCCTAAGACAAACGAAGGGAGGAAAAGTGTGTGTTGCTTCATGGCTTCAGGGGTTTCAAAGCGTGAGCACTTGGCTCCATTGTTTTGTGGAGCATGTTATGGTGGGGCTGCACATGGAGGAAACCTGATCATCTAGTGGCAACTTGGAAATAAAACAGAAAGAGGAAGAAGAAGGGTTGAAGTCCCAATATCCGCCTTGAGGGCTGACCCTTGACGGTCTAACTTAAAGGCTCTACTGCCTCTCAACAGGGCCACAGGCCGGAGACCAAGCACTTAGCATGTGGCACTCTCAGAGACAGTTAACATCCAAACCATAACAGAACTCAAGATGACATCATTAGGGATTGATTTCTGAAACACATGGGTCATAACCAGTGGTCAGAGTCAAGTCCTGGTCCTCAGTGGGCAAAACAAGCAAGCATAACTCCTTGAAAGTTTACTCCTTTTTCCTATAAGGAAAAGTGCCATCTGCCATGCAAGAATATAACATTTCATTGAGAAATCTTCTAAAAATATATTGTACATTCTCAACAGAATATAATTCATCTCTTCCTGCCATGGGAAACAGTGTTTCCTGGTGCTTCGGAGCACTGCTGGCCTTGGCCATGAATCTGGTAAACTATGTAGAGTGGGGGTGGGGCTGAGAGTAATAACAGGAGCCCACGGAAGAAAGGATCTTGGCTGTGAGACATGACATCGATGACCTTACCGGAGACCAACAGTAGAACTAGCTTTAAGGTAGGTCGTGGACCAATGAAATGACTCAGTGGGTAAAAGCACTTAGCTCATAAACCTGGTGAGTTGGGTTCCATCCCCAGAACCCACAGTGAAAGGAGAGAATTGAGTCCAGGAAGTTGTCTTCAGACGTCCACATGTGCGCACACACACATACGCACGAAGAGACAACACAGGCTCATCTTTCCTGAGTTTAGGGCTCCACTTGGGGAGGGGGACCCTAAGGGAGGCTGTTCTGAGGAGTCATGCTGCACATCTTCCTGTGAAAGCAGGAAGTCAGCTTTCAACCTAGCCCACACCTGCACACCACACACACACACACACACACACACACACACACACACACCCCTACTATTTTAAGTGAGTAAAGACCCCCCCTGGAACAGTATTCAAATGCCCCTCCCTACTCTCTGCCTTTGGCCTCTCACATTGGATTCCCCAGAGCCTAGCCTTTGAGAAGTGAAACTTCTCAACATGCCACCCCTTTCATGAGGAGGGAGGAAGAACCGCGGAGGCCTTTGCATTGGGCTTGTTTAGCATTGCTCACACACAACCCCTCATCATGAACAGTGTTGCTGCTGCCCTCCTTGTGTGGACTCTGACTTCTCCCAGCAGCAGTGGTCATGGCAGAGAGGAAGCTTGGCCCACTCACATGGCCTGCAGCGGTGGGGGCTTGGAAGTATTCTACCAGAGTTGCGGTAAGGTCTTATGAAACGTTCGTTTGGGTTTACAGGGAAATTAAAGCCTACAGGTGTGGACAGCGTGAGTACTAAGTTGGTGTGGGGGAGGAACAAGGTTATCGGCAGCCCGGTGCTTTCTCGTGGTGCAGTGAGTCTTTGAGGGCCGTGGGCAGCTCTTGGGAGCTGTGAGGAGGGACAGTGGGACAGCCTGCTGAAAATAACAAAGACAAAAAAAGAGAAATTCACAGTCTTGATATGGGGCCCAGTCTAAGGGCTCAGTTCCTCCAAGAACAAATGATCAGTGATCTTCCAATAAGGTTTTCTTCCCAAATCTGCACCTGGGATGGCTCTCCAGGGCACCCATTGCATCCAGCAATGCAAACTGGGTAAGCGTCAAGTCATTTTTATCAAAGGATCTCTGTTCTTCAGCCGCACCACCCATTGAAGCAGCAAGCACTCCGGAAGTAGCACCGGGTGCCAGGGTTTCCCTGGGAATCAAGACAGCAAACGGGGGTGCTGTGGTCTGACTGCGTCCTGGAGCATGTATTAGAAACGTAGTCCCCAGTGCCACCGTTTGGAGAGGGGGCACATATTGGGAAGAGTTCAGCTGAGAGGGCTCTGCTGCTGGCACCAGCAGCCAGAACTCAGGAGCGGGTTAGTTGTACAGTCCGAGTTTGGTGTCTCCCCTTATCCTCTTCCTTCTGTGATGTTACGACACCGTGGGGAGAAATGAGTCTTCGGATCCATTTTCAATGGCAAGTTAAAGAACCAGCTTGTGGAAAGGCAGGCTTTAATGAAGCCTGGGAATCTTCAGGAAGATGGGGCAAACGTGGCTTGAGATGGAGAATGGGGAGGGGAGAGACTGAGCTCCAGTATCGGTCCCCACCATCATAAGCTGGGAGTAATGAAAGCAACTTTTGAGCAAATAGCTGATCCTGACTTCTGCTACCCAAAGACCTGACCTGAGAGACACAGGTGGTCAGTTCGGTTTCTGGGGTAATACCTGTTTGTTCCTTTTAAAAGTAACATTGAAGTGCATTTTAAAAATTACAAATAAGAAAAAGAATGTTTGCTGTTCTCAGGGTAAACAGGAGCCTAGACTGCTGGTGACAAGTTCATTCAAGGTGTGGGGTGACAGCAAGAGCTGAGGTGGACTAGTTGGGATTTGATTCTCCAGATCATTCAGTCTCATGTCATTGGCTAGTCTGTGTCCCAGATGCCCCCTCAGACTGCAGCCAAGTCTCCTGAGCCCTTTCCCTCACCTGGAGAAGAGGCAAGGGAAAGGAACAGGACATAAGGGCTGCCTCACTGTCTGGGATGGTGCATCTATCTGGAGGTGGACCTTCTCCGAAGAGTGATAAAATATCAGGGATAAACCCTGGGCACTTGGAATAAAGGAACAGAGAAGATGGAGTTTTCTTCTAGGAACAGTTGGAGAATCAGCCAATGAAACCAAAGGATAGATGCTTTGTGGAATGGATGTCGCAGAGGAGGGTGTCAGGTACCAGGGGACATGTGATTGGAAGAGAGTTAGCTTTGGATCATCTAACATAAATTTAAACTTAAAGAATGATAAAGGCAGCTGGACAAAACCTCCTACTTGAAGGGTCTGCCTGTGTGTGTCAAAGACTATGATGCTTAGTGATTCATTAGCGTGATCCTTGCTTTATAAGTGTGTTAGCATGGGGTCGGAGACGCTAGCTGACTTTGTAAAGGCTTGCCAGCTAATACTGAATAAAGTATGATCCCAGGGGCACAGAGAAGACAAACATTGAGTAAATATTTGTGGAATTAAAGCACATCCATCACTGGCCTCTCTAAAACAGCCATGTTCTTAATAACCCTGGTGTGCAGTTTTGTTGTTGGAAGAATGGTATAGAGGAGCATGGAGGAGAGTTCACAGAGGGAATAGGGTGTAAAGGCGACAGAGGCCGTGGCATGACCAGACTGAGTTCAGGGAGCTGAGAAATGATGGGCGGGATAGAGACAGCGTACCTAATGAGGGAGAGTTGCCTGTCTTTGGCTGAGGAGCTTCCACTTTGGAAAGATCCTTTGGGTAGTTACTAGGGATGTGGGTATTTCAATGGAGCCTGTTTATGGTTAGAAAAAGGGTTTGTAGCTGGCAGTCATGACAGTTTAGGAAGGTTTTTCATGATCATCATGAAAACCATTCAAAGGTATTTAGACTGAGGGGATCAGTAGAAAGGAAAGTTGAACCCTAGAAGCTCCTGCAGGGGTGGCGGTGACTCTGTCTTCTGAAAGGCCACGAGCTTTTGGAGGTTGAACAGCTGTACACTCCTGGATACAGACTGTACACTACTACTAGGTTTGCAGGGCAGCAGTCTCAGTCAAAGGCTGCCTGGTGTGGCACTCTGGCCAGTGTGGTTCTGCGGCAGTGTTAGCACCTCAGGGGCTTCTAGGATCCAGCTGCGAGCCCAGAAACAGTTGCTGTGGTCTTCTAGGGTAGTGCTTCATTTATCTCTGTTTTTTCACTTGTGATTTTAGTTCCAAGAGAAGGAGACTTTAAGCTAGAAACTGTTTACTGAATCATTAAAAAAAGAAAAGAAAAGAAAACCCTTCAAGAGACAGAACAACCATCAGAAGCGATTTCTGATGTTAGATACAAACCAGGAAGCCAGGTGTAGTGGTTCATGCCTGGAATCCTAATACTTGGGAGGTGGAGGCTGGAGGATGTGGAAGTTCAAGGTCATCCTTGATTCACAGAGACTTTGAGGCCAGCATGGCCATACGAGACCTGGCCTCAAAAATATAATAATAATAAATAATAATAATTAGGAATAGTTACAAAATAAAAAGTCTAAACAGGAAGTGAGAAAAATTTTCTGAAAAGCAGAAGTCTGAACTTGTTCAAGAAAGAGAACTGCAAAAAAAGAAGCCAGTGTTGTCAGATCAAAATGCAAGAACATTCAGGGATCTTCCTACATTAATTCATAAAATAATATTTTTAAAAGCCTAGGGGTGTGGCCCCAGTGCCTACTAGCATATTACTTACATGCAGCCTCTAGTACTCAAAGAAACAGCGTAGATTATAAAAATACTTACGAAAAGGAGAGAAGTCAATGGCAGCGGAAGAAATAGGGTGAACAGGAGAGCAGGAGGCAGTGTTATGGACAGAATGTTTGTGCCTCCCACCAAAAAAATTCATCCACTAAGAGCAATGAGATGTCTGCAAGCCTGATAACCTGAGTTGATTCCTGGAATCCATGTTGTGGTGGAAGGAAGAAGCGATTCCACACAGTTGTCCTCTGAGCTCACACATCATATCAGGGGTATGTCCACACTCATGATCATACATCATTTACTCATACACACACTCACACAATAATAATAAAATTTTAGTTTATATCTTACATCCTACCTCTAAGATGATGGTATTAGGAGGTAGGGCTTTTGTAAGGCAATTAGATCATGAAAGCAGAACCCACAGGAATGGGATTTTTCTTTTACAAAAGAGACCCCCTGGAACCAGAAGCCCACACCAGAAACCCAGTCCTGCTGGGCACTCTGATCTCAAACTTGTGAAAACTTGAGAGCTCTGAGAATACCAGTTGATGCTCAAGTCACTCTGTCTATGGTAACTTGTCACATAACCCTGAGCCAAGGAAAACAGAAGCAAGTAAGGTCAAAACACATATGACAGATGAATCAGGTGAAAGATAAAGGCTTAGGATCTGGAGTCAGCAAATCTCATTCAAACTGTTAGGGAAGATGCTAGTCTCAGGCCCTTGTTGCTGAGGTATTTGTCCCCACGCATGTTCCAAGTTTCACTTTACTGACTAAAATAGAATGCACTGGGGCTGAACATAGCTTAACTAGTAAAGTGCTTGCTATATGACCATGAAGACCTGAGTTCACGCCCCGAACTCATGCAAACATGCTAGTGTGTGTGCTCATAATCCCAGCACAGGGGAGGAAGAAGTAGATGTGTCCCAGGAACTCACTGACATGCCAGCCTAGCCCAGTTGTGAGTGTCAGGCCAGATGGAAGACTCTGTCTCAAAAATTAAGGTGGTCAGCACCTGAAGAACAATGCATGAGGTTGACCTCTGACCTCTCTCTATATACACACACAGACAAGACACAAACACACAACACACATGTGCACACAAAAACAAGTAAAAAAATTATATACATATATACATATACATGTATATATATATATATATATATATATATATAATTTTTTTCAAGCACTCATTAATCATTTAGGGTTCTGAAGAACAGAAGTGTAAAGTAAGTTTCTCTGGGTCACGGTGCTGCCCAGGCCTCACTCCCTTAGAGGCTCTAAGGGAGAAAATAACTACACTTTCCAGTTTGCAGTCTGTCTCTTAGTTCGAGGCTCTTCCTCCGTCTTCAGAAGCAGACCTGTAGCCTCTTGTTCCAGCCATCACATTGCTTTCCTGAGCTACGGCAAAGCCCTCTACCTCCTTCTTGTGAGATATTTGTATGAGGGTGACCTCCCAAACATGAGATTCGTAGCTGTGATGGCCATCTCTCTGACCAGATACAGGAGCATTCACAGGTTCTGAAGATGAGGACTTGGCTGTTTTTAGTCACCATTTTCAGCCTACTACAAGAGGCATAGTCTTTTACCTCACAAGGCTGTGGAAGGATTCAGTGAAAAGAACCATAGGAAAAGGTCTCCAAATATACTACATACTTAATAAATTTTTGCTGTTGGTAACTTTATGTGGTATGATATAATCAATAGAATAGTGGTTCTCAGCCTTCCTAATGCTGCAACCATTTAATACAGTTCCTCGTGTTGTGGTGACCCCACACCCATAAAATTATTTCGTTGCTACTTCATAACTATGATTCTGCTACTGTTATGAATCATAATATAAATAATCTGACATGTGATATGGAGAGGGGTGGCCACCCCCAGGTTGAGAACCCCTGCAATAGAAGTGTATCTGACTATAGTCCTCATTGAAAGCAAATCAAACAAGGAAATGACATTTCCAAAACAAACCAATTTTCAAGCTGGTTTGAAAC